GAGGAATCTATTTACAGTCTCATCCAATCTGTTCTGAATCTCATTCTATAAGATCAAAAAAAAGATTCGAATAAAAGTGATTTGAGCCGATTCTTTCATAGGCATTCAGGTTACCGTCGAGGTGTTTTGTTCCGAGGTCAGGCCTAATAGTAACCAGGACAGAGACTTCTAACTTGAAATGCTACCGCATCTGGAGGGCCATCAGTACGAGTGAAAGTAGTACCTTGGAAGCGTTTAGGACGTTTTCGCCTCCTTCACTTGTACTGCTGTTCCTTTCGCCGCAGTGGTGTTCCAATTCAGAAGTCCCTACCTTTTAAAGGGGCTCTTTGAGCAGATTCTGAACCACTCGCTTATCATTAATGCCTTTTTAAGCCTGTAATGAGGTTTTTGTAACAACCAGAAAAGTTTTTTCCTAAGGTTTTTCCAGGATAACAGATTCAACCCTCATGCGTTCCTCCCCAGTTTATTTTAGTTCTCATATCTATTGTTTCCTTATTAGAGTAAGCAGATGTTTCCTGGAGATAGTCACCTGATTAGGCTGAATGCAACGCAGAGCTTCAAGGAGCTGCTCCTTCCTTTGCTGGTCTGGGAGATCGGATTTAGCCTGAGCATCCCCTTTCATATTGCCTCTTGTTTCATCAGTTTTGACCTCTGAGCAGGAATCTTTCTCTGGCTTGAGCATCATGTCCCTGGCTTCAATACTTTGTTGTGTAGACGAATTTGAAATTCCTGTGCAATCTCAAATGCGGGTTGAATGCATGGCATATTTTGAAGACTACTGAGCAGCTTTCCCTACTGGCTTCGTTCCTAGTGATGTACGTTTGCATTATATGCAAAGATTCTAGCCTTGACGTCTGGATGTTTATCAATCGAACTCCAAATGGAAATTTACAAAGTTATACATATTTCATATTGAAACAGCTAAACTATTCATGGAGTTGGTGGAATTCCATTAGATAATGGTTTGACTAGCATGGGCTTTTTATTAAACAGCAGCAATAATGGACGATGAATAGCTCGAAAATGTCGAAATCCATATTCGAGCTATTTTAAAAACCCCTCATGTCGTTGCTTCAGTAAAATCTGTCCATCCCTACATACCCTTGACTGGTACTGTGACGTCGACCTAATTATGGCCAGGTTAACGATCTCTACGATGCAGTTGCCTAGTTTCGCTTGACAGTATTGACATTACTCTTCACTATGACTACCTATACTTTGACCAGTATGACAACTGCCAGTAATTTTTTCAACAGATTCCACTGAGTTGGGAAATTTGCTCATTTTCCAATTGTTTCTGGGCTCGCTCCTCCTCAGTTTTTCCGTCCCAAACAGTTCTTACATATGATCGCCCTTTTAAAAATTGCATTATAACAATGAGAATTTTCCAAACTGCCCATTGTTTTGTGATTTTTTTTTGAATATTCGTAATAAAACATCTATGTAAGCAATTAGAAATGTATTATACAACAGTTTTAGTGAAGTGAACCCTCGTGCTTCATTAGTACTGACAGATGACCCCCTACTGCACCAGTCTTTTTCACAAAGCCTAGTGGCAAGCTGAGAAAGCAGTTGTCGATTGACGCGTCTGCCCTTCTTTCTAAACTTCTCAAAATGAGCCCGTTTAGGAGACAAAAAGCGGGTTGAGAAGTCTGAAAAAAGCGCCTACTCGGGGAATTCTCCTGATTTTGCTCCCTATTACTTTTATTTTATAATATTCGTGCATTTTTTGTAATCCTGTGTCCGTGTACCCCTTCAATATTTCAAAAAACGTCGAGTCCCATCCAGCTGACAGCTCTGACTAATAGTTGACATAGGAGGGAGGAGGAACGGTTGAAAGCCTAATGACTTGGTCACCTGCAGTGTTCTCGATTTTTGATCGTTAATTCCGAGTGGGTGGGGGTTGGCCTCTTGAATTTTACCAATTCAGATTCCTTTCTGCAATACTGGTAACTTCTGATCTTCTAACCTTCCTCTGTTCTTTTCAATTGCTCTTCACCTTCGTCCATGGCCTGTTTATCCGGATAACTGCTGTTAGCTAATCCTTCCCCCCTTGAGCGTGTACTGTTTCGATAATGCCCCACTAGGTGGCCAGCAGATCTCTCTGGCACCCTTCCCAACTAAAGATGTTTTCCCCAACTCCTCGGGAGCACTTCATGCCCCTACATCATCGCTTCATATTCTGTTCAGGCTTATCCATCTCATCCNCCCAACTAATCTCCTTCAGTGATGGTCTTGGTGGAATCGATTCGGAACGTTTTTACTCTACGAGTACGAGGAAGCTAAGTTTATTCGGGAAACCGTGCCTGGTTCCCCTAATCGCTCAGATCCCAGCGTCCGATACCACCCTAGTCGCTTCAGTCATCCTACCCTTCCACACATTCGAACTCTGGCTTTTGGCTTCTATGTAGTAAATCTCACTTGGACGGGCTGTAGTAGAAGTAGCGAGTAGTCCAAAGTTAGGACTAACAACTTCTGCGTTTACCTTGAGAGAGAACTTCTTTTCCTTCAAAAGGTTTATCTGTTCTTATTGGCACCTAACCTACTCGCTACTGTCTTACTGTACAAAGAGTGGTTGGGATGTTTTTCAAAATGGGCTTAAATACCCAATAAATGGTATATCACACCCCTAAAAATCTAGTAATTACGCCGTGGGTCTGCCATCACTCTAGACAAAAGGGTGACAGCGCGTAAAAAAATTCATTTTCATGGCATTAAAAAAGAAGTTCAGTTGGCACGATAGCCATAAAATCAATATTTGTGACAATGAAAGTATACGAGCTCATTATTGAACAATTGAATGCCGTTGTTGACTGTTTATCAATCGCCTGTGCAAACACCATTTATGGTACATTTCACTAAGAACCATCTGTGAACGAATTGATCGATGAGAGGCTATGTAGGACAGGGGAGGTGACTAGACTGTGGACTATGCTGTCCCACCTTTTCTATCCCGTTTTGTTTACCCTAACGGCGAGTTTTGGGGCCAATGACGTCGAGACTGTCACGTTTTGGATCGCATACGGGCTGCTACATCTGAGAAAGCTTTTCTAATTTTTCCCGTTTCAACTCCTGCAATTTGGTGCAATGCAGCGATGTTGCATAGAGCCTGTCACCATTGTATTGTTTTTTAAGCAAAGATAGGATAGTGGTAAAGGGCGTTGCAGGCCTACATACGCTCAAGGGATCAATCCCTTCGGTGGAGTGATGTAAGCCTTTCATTGCTAGGATGGGCTGGCTGGTATCAGACTGGTTTGTGGTGAACCGATCGATGTCTTGCATATGGGGGCTGAATTTTGCAAGTCGTTTCAATAAACTAATGAATATGATAATCAACGATTCTGGAAGGTGGAACCGTGGGGCTCCTAAAAAGGGCATTGTTAAACACCGAACTAACTGTGTCTTTAATTATTTTGTTGAGTAATTTTAGTATGTACCCATAATTGAGGTTGTTTTATTTTTGTCTATTTGTCTGGCAGTTTTTCCAAGGAATGGGTGCGATTAAGATATATAGCTTACAAATACAAGTGAGTTGAGCGGTCCTTCGGTGGCAAAGAAATCGGAAAGATCTATCCGTAATAAGGCTCCCACTTCATAACATTCCCAGCAGATTTATGAACTAAAGTTTAAAATGGTCGCCACTGTTCTTCTCCCAAGGGCAGAAAGATTGGTGTCAGACAGGATTCGATCTTATTCCGAATCTAAGTGACATTGCGTATATGGCCTATACAATGACGTGCGGTTTCCAGCCGATTAAAAAGCCAGTGCTTTATCTTGCCAAACCAGTCTGGTACCAATTGACCTACTTTGAGGGACAGAAGGCCAAGGAACAGAAAGAGGCATCTCCAGTAGTGTACTTCATATTCATTCCTGTTCTTGATTCAGATAATATCTTTATCCATTCCCTTTCCCGCTGGCCCCAAACCACTGATGAGCTTCAGGGAAGGGTAGAGACGGTGGTTCCTCCTGTGAAGAGGCAAAATAGCTTTTAGTTGGTCGTCTTTAGTTTGTATGGTTATTTTGCCTTTTTGATGTATGTGCTTATTGCAGTTTTTATGCTCCACTAACTTCAATTTGTTACCCTTAACTTATTGAGTGGCCCGGGTGGATATCAATCTAGATTCTATACCAAATCATGCGAATTAAGTCGTGCGTGCTACACCACCTCTGCCCATATTGCTTGATAAGCTATGGCGAACACCCATTTGAAATCTGAAATCATGTGATACTCTATTTGTAGTGTAGAGGTCGGGGGCGGCATCAGCATTGCACTGATTCTAGATCGAATCTCAATTCAAAAGCTGAATGTTTTGCACATAACAATGATTCCACGGAATGTTTTCGCTCTTTTTTTCGTTCAGTTCGTTGAATAGCACTCATAGAACCAGAGAGCGGTTTCGATTCAAAAGAAAAAATAGCTATTTTGTGGAACCCGTCCGGTCTCAGAGTTAATTTTACGGCCTTTCCCTCACGGTCATCGTTTCGATCTCGTCCTTCGAACTCTGTTCTTCCACAGTCAATTAGGCCGGCATCCCAAGATGAGGATCGCCAGGCTACTGCTGGTTTTTCTTTGTCAGCCTGACGGACAAACGGACATTTAAACTATCTACACGACCCCAGTGGATGACAAATGCATGGCGCATTCCGAAGGAGCACTGATTAGGCCCAATGCTCCACCTTTCTTTACTGGCTTTGCTAGGTCTTTGATGATAACCGTCTTTTTTCCATGCAACCACACCCACCCACGACCCCAAAATTTATGTAAATAAGTGAATCCTTGAAACTTCCAGTAGCCTTTGCGTGTTGACAACACTTTTTTCTAGTATTACTGTAGTACCTGTTGATTTTGTACTCGTCTGAGTCATTCTTTACCTTCATTGCAATAGTGAAGATTGTCGAGTGGCGAAAATAAATACATGTCGAGTATGGGTACTTAGAAAAACCCCATGTGGGTGGATGTTTTCGTTGTCGGACATCATCCAATACCATGTGATTGTAGGATGCTGCTCCAGTTAGCAGTATTTTTGACCGCAGTTACGGTAATTCATGCAGCCATTCCTACACTGGTCAAGCCTCATGTATTACCATTGGAGCGAAAAACTACATCAGGTGGGTTCGCAGAGTTTCGAAGCAATTTTTGAAGAAACTACTATTTAACTAAAATCATCGCTTTACTGTAACGACCCACGACACGGTAAATGTGACAATCACATTCCCCTTCCAAAAAATATGCTTTTGTAGGAGCTTTTTATCCTTGTCTTGTTACATTTTGTTTGCTTTTCTTTTTTGAAAAGAGGTAGATGGATCACTTATGGTGTTCACCGCGCTTCCACAGGGTGCCCGTGGGAACGGCTCACCCGGGTGGGTTGAGCTGAAAGTGGGCTCTCGATTGCAGGTGGAAGTCCAGCCTACGAACAATTTCGTCACATAAGTGTTCATTGGCCCATTTAGAAACGGGGTCCACCACTAGGTGGGATAGTGCGGAGAAGAAGAATACGAAGGGTCTGTATGGTGCTGTGCGATGAGAATTCTTCTATTTGAAGTTCCAAGGTGAAAATGATATGATCAACTCCTCTCCCTTCTGTGCTTCTAACGCACTCCATTTACATGGCCAGCTCTCTCTCTGCAAAACTGAGCTCAATAGCCCATTCGCGTGTTCCTTCAATGGAAGCCTTCCCCCAAGGGTCCTCGATTGTTCATAGTCGATTGGAAAGAAAGATTTTTCGGTAAGAGGGAGGAGTCAGATTCTATATAGAAGAAATGACCTGGCTCAGTACTCGCAATGTTGACCGTAATGGGTGGGCAGTCTCACGAGCAGTGAACCATCAGTAGCAATCCCCGTCGAGAAGGTCACTTACCGTTTCAAAACTAGGCAATTCTATTCGTTACCAAAATACTCTTTATCCGAAGAATTGGCTACAATGATTGCTGTGAAAATTCAACTTCCGGCTAATGTTTTCAGCAGAAGAGAAGTGGCGATCAGAAGCCATAGAAAAGCTATGGGACGAAAGGAAAAAAATGGGTCATACTCCTTTGGTGAAGTTTCAGGTACGATATTGTTACAGCAACCTTTTCCAGCAGCACATTTGAACTTAATCTGATCTTTGTTTACAGCCAAAAGGCTTCCCGAACGTTGATATTTACTTCAAAAATGAAACAGCCTCGAAAACACAGACGCTCAAGCATCGGTTCGCTTGGGCTCTGATAGCTTGGGCCATTATTGAAGGAAAGGTAAGTTTTTACACAGGTTCCCATGATGTTTAAAGCCAAGGGAGATTCTGGGAGGAGAAGATTTACCCTTCGCGAATGAATTTGCTTTGCAGTACTTCTTTCATTACCTTTACTCAGGTACACAGTAATTCCACGGTGTATGATTCAACGTCAGGAAATACTGGTGCTAGTGAGGCGTATATGTGTACTTTAGTTGGACTGCCGTACATCGCTGTTGTGAGTTGTTTGTTTTCGTCGATTTTCATTCACTTCCGATGCGTTTCACCGACCGCTTACCATTTTTTTATTGTTTATTTGTTTGTTTTTTCGTATCACGAATTCACCTGCGTCAAAAAATAGTGGAAGAAGGACTATGTTTTCACTCCCAGGAACAACTTTCTGATCCAGAATTTCTAGGAAATTCATAAAACCCAAGAGAAATAGGTGTCATTCGGTCAATGGGCGGGATCTGTGATGTGGGCGGGGTCGCGAAGGAGAACGAGGCAGGAGGTACTGTCTACTGACACGTGACTTGTTTGAACATGTTTTGCGTATACCCGTTTTCTTTGCTAAGAATGTGGGTGAAACCCTTTTCCATGGGTGGAATTATTCCTTTTCTTACGAACTTGTGGTGACTGATCGAACGGAGTTGTCCAGTGAAAGTTTGAAATAATCACTTGTTTATTTATTTGTTTATTTATCGATTTATTTATCTGTTCACTTATTACCGATCTCTAGAATGGCGATGAATTTTGATAAATTGGCAGGTTGCCAAGGATCTCGAAAAGGAAAAAATTCATCAAATTACCAGTAACGGCGGTAAAATAATGAAGGTATGCTAGCGATTCGTTCCAGCATTTCTTTTACAAGCACTTCGAAATTCTTCAGTATTGATTTATTGATCGATTAGGTGGACGTTTCCTTGAGAAATTTCCATGCAGAAGATCAGGCCAAGAAGAACGACGGTTTTTTCATCAACCAGTTTGGTAATGCGCAAGAAGCTGAAGAGTTTCACGAAAGTAAGTTTTATACAAAGTACAGTTTTATACGAAGTTTCTGGGTGGTAAACTTCAAGAGTATTAAGTTTATCGTCGAAACGTAGTGAACTTGGGGTACCTTTCAGGTGGTGGCAATCCTCATGAAAGCACGAATATGTTCCATGAGATCCTGTTGCAATTGGAAGAAGACAACGATCAAAAAAAGAAAATTCCAGATTATTTTGTTCACAATTCTGGCACAGGTAATCTTTATTAATAAATAATTTTCAAATTAGATCGTGAATATACAGTACTGCATTGACGAACCTTCATGAGCGGGGGCGTGGTTTGGGGGAGAGGGGCGTGGTGAGACACCACACTGGCATGGTGGGACTATATGTACTTATACATTGTTAGCTATGAGTACCAAAGGTAACATTATCGAATTTTGCCTGGTCACGTACATCATGAGAGCGAGAAAAATGAAAAGAGGACTTATACGGACGCAAAGTATGTAGCGAAGTATAGAGCTAGGAAAGTGGAAGCGGTTAATGATACGCTCGGTCCATAAGCGTTCACGAGCTCGCTCCCTATTCAGGTTTACCAGGTTCTTATCTCTATTCTGACGGAGGTGACGTAGTGGCAAGTGGCATGAGACTTGTCTAGGAGGATAAAAGCACTGGCTTGTACATTGGCTGACCACGTGGCTACCGTAAGTCGTTGTGTAGGCTTTACCCCAAAAGGCAAGGGTGGTGTAGGGGTGCAGGGATGAAGAGGTCAACATTCAGTACGTCATACCAACGGCATTACGTCCTTCGTTTTGGTTGCAACGCTTTGTAGGGTGAAAATTTTTCAGGAGGAACGATTACATCAGTTGGGCGATACGTGAAAAGGTACAATATACCGACGACCATCGCTCTTTCCGATTCCGAATATTCACTCTTCTATGACTACGTGATTTCGAACAAGTGAGTCCCTCGTCCCAATTCGGAGGCGCAATCCTCTAGTATGAATATCTCCTCCCACACACTGGTTCGCCGTCGGCTATAATGAGAAGGCTAGTCTGAGGATTTTTTTAGATTCACTAATGAATCGGGAACAAAGTACTGGAAACCTCCTGGAGTTGCTGGAATCGGCTACGGGTACAATGTGAAGCCGATCATCTATGGAGAGACCACCAGGTAAACTGGCAATTACTGTTAGGATCGTTAGGTTCCTGTGTTCGTTAAGTGAAAACTGCATGTGCGCATAAATCTACATGTCGAAACTAAGAGTAGTTTGAGCGTAAATTTAGATGTCACACTTGAAAAAGAAAATCGGATCGGGTTCAGTAATGGTGAGAGGGAAAACGAGGTTGGTGATAACGATCCTCAAGATCCTAGATTATATACGCCTCTAACGAAGATTTGGGCCAAGGATCGTGGTCAGGAGGGACCTTTATAGGACAATGCTTCCCATCCCTTTGTGTTGGAAGATTCTTGCAGTAAACTTGGCCTCTTTAAAATAAAAACTCATCCAGTAACCGTGATGTCGTTGAAGACCCTTTCAAAGATGCTTAAGGAGACCGAGACCCATTGTGCAATAGCTGACAGTGGTACCATCACCCTTGAGAATTCTTTTGGCGTCACTTTTATAGTACTGCCTTTCATTGTCTTCACTGAAACAATTTCCTTTCAGTCTGAATCCAAACGTCGTTGACGAGGCGATGAAAATGCCGGACATTGCTTCTGCAGCAGCGATGCACGTACTCAGGGAGCGAGGGATCGGTGGTGGAGCGTCGACAGCTCTCAACTTCCTCGTTTCACTTCACAAAGCTTACCAGTTGAAGTGAGTGTATCGGTATCAAAAGGTAGTCAGCCTCTATTCCTTCTGCCTCTACGTCTACAGAACGTCCACAGACAGAACCTTCACTATGTTTTGAGCTCTGACCCTGCGGCTCTGCCTTTGTTTATAAAACTAATCTATGATTTTTCATATGAAATATGACTTTTTAGGAAGAGCAAAGACATTAAAGGTCGTCTTCTGATCGTGACTGTCATGTGTGATCCCGGAGAGTTCTACAACAGCAGCTATTTCAATTCAACATGGATTGATAAGCTGTTCGCAGATAGAGGAGGCATGATGGGACTCAGATGTTGGAAGAAGGTTAGTCGAAAGATCTTTTTGGCAGGATTTACCAGCTCAGTGGGACTGGCCCAGATCAGTGCCTATCACTTATGATATATGTGGGTAGTAGAATCGATCCCTTCTTCCTTCTGATCCTTCTTTTCACTGAACGTTAGCTCGTCCATGTTAGTCCGGTCGGAAGTTGAGGATGAAGTTATAAACCTAGAGCATTCCCTATTCAGTGTAAAATGGTTATCAGATAAACTTGATGGCATTTTCAGACCGGTAGTAGGATCCCTAATAATTCTATAACGCCCGATATGGTGCTTTTGTCTCCCACACGAGTTCGGAACCAAGTGACCAACCCCAAAGGATCGAAAATTCAACTGATCTGGGGGAGCTTGATCCACTGACCACGCTTACTATAGCCGCGCCTCTTATTCCTCTTTTTTCCAACCAGTTTCCAATAATCTTATCCAAAAGGCGTTGTGATTGAAACGATCAAGTTAGTCTTACAGGTAATCAATAAGTCGATAGACCATGGTACCGATTTTCTCGAAGAAGGCTTGATCAGTTGTCCAGGAGCTCGTGAAAAACGATGGGTAATGCGATCATTTCCATAGATAACTATTAGAAAATGTTGCGTAGAATATATATTGTTATTGGGATATAATGTTTACTCGTAGGATTATGTTTAGTATATCAATTACTTGTTTATAGTCATTAGTATAACATAGTAAAATTATGATTACTATAATATTCACTTGCGTATAGTTGGTAATTTGATTACTAGAAAATTCCTTATTGTGCATGAAACGTGTATTTAATAGAGTAAATTAATGCAGCTCAACCGTGTAGTAATTTCAAAAGAAAACATTTTTTTGCTGATCCTTTCAATTACAGGGCCTAGCAGTTCGAAGAAAATTTGAAATGAAAGCTCGTTTCGACTCTGAACAGTAGCCTGTTAGACTTTTTCCTACTTTTTCCTTACCATTTTGTAAAATGCACACCACCCTAAAGTCTTATTTGAACCCTCAATAAAAAATTAGTTTTGNTTTTTTTGCTGATCCTTTCAATTACAGGGCCTAGCAGTTCGAAGAAAATTTGAAATGAAAGCTCGTTTCGACTCCGAACAGTAGCGCGTTAGACTTTTTCCTTACCATTTTGTAAAATGCACACCACCCTAAAGTCTTATTTGAACCCTCAATAAAAAATTAGTTTTGTTTTTTTGGTTGAATTCAAGGTGCATCTGTAGAATGCGCTATAGAGAGCGTGAGCTAGCTGATGTAAATAAGGGAGAATAGTCCTCAAGAAATGAAAAAATATCATGTATATTGAAAGGAGGTCTTTCAAGATCAAAAAAGGAATTGAAGTGAGCAAAAAGGATTCGAAATGGTGAAAAAATTAAAAATGAAAAAATCATGGTATAAAGAATGGACGTTGAGAAAAATAGTAGCTTGACAACGGTGAAGCAGCCTCACCACTGGTAAACAATACCAGGCAGATAAAGGAAAAAAAAGTTGCAAACTTGAAAAGTCGAAACAAAAAACCGAAAAAGTGTAGGAAAAAACAACGCAAAAAAAACTTACAAGCAAAAAAAATTTCCCTGTGCTGAGAAAAACACTTCCGAAAAGGATTAAATTTTCTGTACAAAAAAACAGAAACAAATCATGGACTAAATAGCTTTTGAAAAAAATTAAAATGTGTGTGGAACAGAAAAAACGTTGTAAAAACTGGAAAGATACTGGCTCAGAAGTAGGCTTACCAACATGTCTGTAGAGGGTGCAAACAAAAAAAAAATAAAACTCAGTAAATCATGAATAGTAGTGATTAATAATATTTATTGAGAAAGTTTATCATACAAGGCAAATTCAATTAAAACTAGAATCACGCGATCCCAGCTACTCCACGAACAAATGCGCCTTTTGGAAGATTGACTGCAGCAGTCGGATCACTTTCGTCTCCAGCAAGCTGAAAAGGAATTTCAAGTAAAAAACATTATCGAACCAAAAATTCCTCGAAGAAGACCACTTATCGATCCTCAGAGAGTAGAAATGCCCTCGAAACCTTGAAAAAATGGGTGAATGGATTGAAAATGTTTCTTGTTATCTGAGTTCTTTATTCAAATCTATTATTCGGCCCTGCTGTCATATAAAAATTTTGATGCTTCATAGTAGTGGGCTTCAACCCCTCTTTGACAATTTTTCATTGCTAATTATCACTAATTACACGAAAATGAATATGAATAATAGTAACAAATAATAACAACAATAACATAAATAGTTATAACGAAATTATGATTGATATTCATAATATCAATATAATAATATGATAATTAAGGGTATCAGAAAAGGCCTACCTTTCGCTTAACGCTGACTTTCCGCTCTTCTTTCTTCCCGTCAACGACGATGATACCACAAAGAATGATGTCGTCTTCTGGCTGAGGATATACATACCTCAACAGTCATAAATTATTTGTATTCCTATTTTATGTAAAGTAATAAAAATTATAAAAAGCCTGGCGATGACCAATATAATTTCATAAACAATTAATAGTAGTTGAGCCTATGCAAAATCCACCCTTGACCGTAGGCTAATGTATGGTGGGAATTCTAAAGAAGGTACGGGTAAACAATTTGTTGACGATGAGACAACTAGCTCAGATAGGTATCCAGAACAAGTCGCCTGACAAGATAGCCACCTAAAAATCGCGGCGCGTGAAAGGGCGCAGTGGGCTCACAGCCTATATAGGAATCTAGGGTCAGAAGATTGAATTGTATAGACCGTAAAAACTCAAGATGACCTCGAGCAACAGCTGAGCCCCCCCCCCCCCNCCCCCTCCCCTGCCTTGTAACTTAAGGAATGAGAGTCTAAATTTAAAACGTTCTGGAAATTTACCTGCATTTTTCCAAACTGCCGTCTTCTTTTGCTTGTTTGTACTTCTCACATGAATTATTCACACATAAAGTTGTTAAGAGTATGATGATCGGCAGAAGTATGAGCGCAATGAGTACAACAAATCCTTAAGTACATTTGTTTTTCGAAAAGGCATGGTAAAAATAAAAACAAAAACAGCACAATATATAAATACAAATGTAATTATAGCATAAATAAATATTTAGCTGTTCCAAGGAACTTCCAATTTTTTGAGATTTATTTTAACCTGTCTGTTTGCACTCGGCAGTTTCTAGCTTCCAGCTTAGCACACTTCGTGAATGCTCTTTCAGAGAAAAACCCTAGAGGATTACTCGACTAGATGACATTGAGCATATGAAAACTACCTTCGTTCAGCTGACACTGGCAGACAACACCGATGCCACTGTAGATGACGTAAATGGCCAAGAAAACCGATCCGGCAACAAATCCCAGGGACATGGCTGCCAACAGAACCATGCCTATCCATTTAAGAAGTAGCAGTACGAAGATGACAACACGAGAACCGTACCATTTCATACAAAACTTCAAAGGTCCCTGAAAAATCACAAACCAGTTCTTTAAAAATTCTGCCTTTCAAAGCCTTTACACTTCTTTCAGGCTGCTGTAAGGTATACACAAATTGTGATTCGAGCAGAAACGATCGAAAAAAGAGGCGTCTGTTCGATCGAAAAATTCGGTTTTTTTTTNTTTTTTTTTCTTGAGCTCTCGTTTTCATGAGAAATAGAATTTGTTGTAACTACGGCTCTGAAAACCAGTCGAAAGTCTGATGCCAGCCCCGTCCCTGAACGCTAGTTGAAACCTCAGAAAATGACCAGACCTCTTCACCTTCGTCTTCGCGTCGTTCTGCAGATTCGTACAATCGCTGCAGCAATGATTTGTGAGCGTCGACGGTGTCCATGGGGGTTCTCAAAATTATTGATGAATATGTGAATAAATAAATTATAAATCTTTCTATCAACAAGTCAATAGAACTACTTACGGCTCATCATTATAGAGTCTCATAGAACTCCGCTCTGATGGGTCACGTTTGACGGATTCTCGTGTCGACTGTGAGAGACGGGACGTTCCACGAGTTCTGCTGGTTGGAAAGAACCGCTCCAATAACTGAAAATCCGAGGAAAACCGCGATGGCTCAAGAAAACCATCATGAGAGCCATCAGACCTCAGTTTTCAGCAGCCTTTTCAGAGGATACGCCGTGCACGTCATTAAATACTTGTTGAGGGACTACATGGCTCATGAATTTGAGATTGCTCAAAGATGAAAATGCGAAAGCGAAATCAAACTCTACCTCTCCAGCTTTGAGTCTTTTTTGTGGATCTCTCTCGAATGTAACATCAACTATGTCGGCCAGTTCCTTGCTCGATGTTGGAACCAGAGTTCGACTCTCGTAGTTCAGTGCACAACGAGAACCTGGTTGGTTCGCTTCGAAAAGTTTCTGGAAATGCTCACGATTTCTAGCAATTATGTTTAACTCTAGATCTCTAGATCCTTGATCATTTTAAGAATTACCTCGTGTAATTCCTGTGTGGACAGCGAAAGGAATAGGTCCTGGAATGGTGCATATCGTGTGACCATAGCCACTAGAACACAGCCAGCTGCCCTGGAACAATAGCTTTATTTCTCCTTTACCGTACAGCACTATACACCTCTCTAAGGGAATAAAGTGCATAAATTGTAGCTACTTGTTACATGAAATGAGTGAAGTGGTGGAGGGCTAGCCGTTGATCGGACTATCAGTTATTGTTAAGGTTTTTATTCGCATTCGTACAGTCTCTTGCAGTCATACTCTGGTCCTTATGATGTCCGAAGGACTCAGCCAACGTCAGTACATTCTATCTACTATTTTAGAGCCCTTGACAAGCCTAGGGCAGGGGGAGGAGGGAGGAGGGAGGAGAAGAAATGGAAAGTTAAGGTCTTCACACTACTGGTCTGTTGAATGAACCTGGAACTGCTCATTTGTCGGCCCTGAAATGTCCATAACTTCAAAATGTGTCCAGAACGAATCCGCCTACTGGTACTAAGCGAGGCTTCCAAATGCCCTTGGAAGAGTTCCAAAGTAGAACTATCGAGTACTGTCGCCGCATTTTATCAGAATAACAAACGAATGTTTCCTGCAAACTGGTTACCATATGTCAGTGGCCGGTGTGAACATTTCCCATGAGTCCATCGTTTTGAACATTTCCGGTGCACAATGTAGCAGAGTTCGCCGTTTGTGATTATCGTTCTTTGGTGCATCTGCAATGTACTACCGGAGAGGTCATAAAACAAAAAAGTCGCTCCGATGCCGGATTTCTTTGAAATGCACCATGCATTTGACTTCCAATTGGAGTCAAACTCAACTTCAATCTTTGAATTTTTCAAGGACAAAGAGATTTTGGAAGACCGTTTTGGACAGGACAAAGTAGACTTTTGGAAGGGCAAGAACTGACTTTTACAAGCCTATTTTGTCCTTAAAAATTCCAGTGTTCATTAAAGGACGGTTTTGTTATTTAGAGGAGAAAATTACTTACGTGGTAGTGAAATATCGGTGACTTGGATATCTCCTGAGAGAGTCACGAGTAAGTTGGATGCTGGAACACATTTACTTGCCTGCATATTCCTCAATTGTCTACTTAATTGTTTATTTGTTTGTTTGCTTATTTACGTTTTTGATAGGGGTGTAGAACAAATCATCGAAAAAGGTAAATTCAACAAAATAGCCCACAAAACAGTCAGGTGGCCGGAATGTAGCGAAACCGAACCGCTCCTTACTGGTCATCTGTCCCACCTGATGGACTTAATTGACTATTATTAAAGCATTTGTCAATTTGGATGTTCTCCACTCTTTGGGATGTTCACATAGTAAGATAGAAGCTCAAAGGCAAAGTATAACTAGGTTAGGTGCATTATAGGGGCCCGCTATGCGTATTTACTTGCGTACATCACGCTATCCCGCCCACTAAGCGAATCAATGTGAACATCTGCCCACATCTCCGACATACACAACATCTTTCCAAGGAAAAATTACTTTATAATCATACTTTTAATGTCTCCATGGGTAACATGTCGATCGTGAAGAAATTCCAGGGCTTCTAGCAGCTGCCGGAAATATCTGGAAATATATCACTACGTTTTGACCTTGCCCACTTGTCTAAGTGATCTCTGAATAATTCTTACCGTACCTTTGTGCAATACATTCCATAAGAGGGCCGATTTTAAGTTGATCTGCAACGGCACCAGTTGGTAGAAATGTTCGAAAGATCGACAGCATTCCATTACCGATATGATAGCCATAGACACTGTAAACAATTGTCACAATTGTCGATTTTTTTTAGGTTTCAGTCAAGCTCTGCAGCAACCAGGGACAACTTGATATAAGTTGAATGAAAATCGAGTAGAGGCTGGGAATGGCGAGAACCTCAGGTTGGAAGAGCTCATAGCATTGCACAGGTAGTGGAGGCAGACTGATTGATTATTTTTATTTTTTTTACCTATGTAATTAATGAATCGTACCTTCCAATTCTGCGGTGCCGGAGTGTGGAATAGAATTCCAGCTGTCTGACTATATCCTGTATACTCTGTAAAAAACCTTCAAGTGATAAAATTTCCATCAAATCATCAAAAACATGGAGTTGGTTGGAAGTGCCCCTCACGGGAAGTACATGGGTAAAGATAATAGGGATTTACAAGTTCTTTGAAAAACGATCAGACCAATGAGGACAGCGCATTACCGACCAGGTATCCCCGCCCATGATTAGCGGTATCCACGCCCATACACGACAATGGACAGTACTTTCGAATAGATCGGTAGATTGAATGTTTCATACGAACCTTCTCATCCATCGATTTTACATCCCACTCCACTACAGCATAGTTAGCCATTGTAGTTTTGTTGACAAACTTCGATACCCGGCCAAATCTTGATCGACCTTCGCTAAGCAGTGCTGAAACGAGATTGGCCACTCGGTGATTACTCAGGTAATCTCTTTATGTCTGATTAATAACAGTTGATTGATTGATCCATTGATTGATCCAGGAATCTATTCTTTTCATCAGAGAAATGCTAAACCAATTGGCCGTGATCAATCTAATAGGAAGTCTCCTTCAACATTTTTTGTTAAACATCCCAAAAATGCCTCTCAACCTTTCATACTTCTGTGTTCTGGATTCTGTAAGTCGATCCTACCGATAATGGCCTATAGGCCTATGGCCTGTACGACCAGCAGAATATCAAGACTCACAAAGCCTGATCATATTATTGACGATCGAGTCCGACAACCGTGGGCATGCAAAGTCATGGGCCGTACTTGAAGCGGTTCGTGAGCGAGACGAGGTAACCTGATGGTTAAAAGCCGGTAGTATTTCTTCGGCCATACATCTAGTTATAGATTAACTTACGCTGTTCTCTTCATCCAACGACTCCAGTCGCCTCGTTAAACTTCTCAATGTCGTTTGCTCTGCTCTAGAACGACTACTACTTTCATATCCCGTTTCTAAACTGGTTGAGGCTTCAGCTAGTGGCGGTGCATGCCTCGTCGGAAACGATTCGGATAGTCGCCTTATTGCCCGAGATCTTGGAGCCATCATTGGTGGCACTTCATCCTCGTCTGTTTCTTCGGAATCTTCCATAATCACATTTGGCAATTGGGTTCGTGCTGGAAGCATTCCTCGGTAGGGAGATCTGAATGGACCTAAATACAGCATCTACAGTCATTTTCTAATAATTTGTCACCATAGAACGGGAGAAAAAGAGTCATAACAGAGAAAAGACGAGAAATTTCAGAATATTGAAAGGTCATCGATAGACAATAAACAGAAATCCATGGATCACTGCGTAGTTCTGTCTGAACCTCAACAAACTCGAGTCGAATGCAAAGAGAGGTGGTGCAGAGCACGGAGAACACTGATGTGAACGCGAGACACTTAGAAGAGATTCAAATGAAATTTGCTCAAATCAAAGCTGAAGTGTTTCTGAATAGTTCCTGATCCCAGCCCTTGATCGAATAAGGAATTTTTTAAATTGAATAAGGATTTTTTCAAATAAATTTATGTAAAAAAGTGAATTAACATCATAAAAACTCTTTTCACATAAGCTGAGATCGGCTGCTCTACTGAAATTCTATTATTAAATTAAAATAATATAATGATAATGTGAGTAGCATAATATAGGGACCATTGTTAACGATGAAGTACTATTTTCCCGTTAGGATGAGCTTCCACCCCTTACTTTACTTTTTTTTTCTTACTTAACTGTAACAATGCGACCTTTCAGGAATTTATGGACTAATTTCGTGTCAATGTGCCGAATTAGTACTTACTCGATTCAGAGATGACATCGAAAGAGTAAAGGAAAAGGCGGACGTTTCAGAAGAATCAGAATCAGCTTGAGCTTAAGGTTTTATTGATTAATGCGTAGTGATGTGGAATTCAGTAGATAAGGCGGGAGGCTTCGCAAACTTGGCACTGCAGTAAATTGATAAGACTTTTTGATAAATTCGGCCCAGACTTCCGATGAAAACTTCCCGAAAGCATCTAAGTAAAGCAAATGACTGGTAATTGACAATTAAAAATCGGAAGGTGATTCCAAGTGCTCTCCAAAGTAGAGAACCCGATTGCCATACTCCTGACGATTGTCGATGTTTGAGACGCAGGGTTTCCATGCCTTGCATTTCAAACATCGACACTACAGTACACAGTACTAGCCAATCTTTCGAAGACCAAAAGATTGGCTAAGTACTTTTCTTCTGTCTGGTAAAGAAGCATTATAGGTTTATAATCTTTTGATCATATCTAATCCCGATCAATCGATATCTGCCCGGGCCAAACAAGCCTCCGTCCCTTCAAGGTCGGCTAGTTGATACTAGACGTGTTTGGGAGGATAAAAGCGCTAACTTGTTCATCGGCTGCCCATCGCAAGTCATTGTAGGCCAAATACACATTCAAAGCCACTAGAATCTGTGGGAGTCGAATGCGGGGTGTATCCCGAAGACCAGGTCGATCAACCAAGGTCTATCCTTTATCTTACTATATACTGTACAGATCATTGAACTGAATGATCATTATACTGTACTGATCTTGAACTGTAAGATGAGTCACGGGGCTCCTGCTGTTTATCACGATATCATCGTTGCCCTCTTGATTTCTTACACATCATATCATGTGGCAAAGCACACGGTCAGTTCAGGCACTTAAAAGGGCAATATAAATACTACCAAACAGGCTATTGTAGTCATTTTACAAAGTGATGCTGTCAGCACCTTACACGAGGCCATTCCCGATATCTACCTCATTGCAATTTTCCTAGAATGTTTTTATACATTTATTTTATTCCATCACAATTTATTCGGACCTTGCAATAATTCTTTGTTTTTCTGTACGTAATATATAAAACGTAAGCGCGCGACTGCGCTGCGGTTGGCGGCAACTGTAGCTGGTTGTTCGTCTGTTTGCATGCCTTGCACTGATCTCAAGAATAATCTCACTTTGGCCGCAGAGCATCGATTTGTCAACGTTTAGACATCGATAGCGATCCATATCGATCGACCGGTACCGAATAACATCGGTTTCCGTCGAGATTCACAGTACATTACAATACTGTTGATTATTGTCTGAAATCATCGATTTTTGAGCATGACGCGAGGTATAATGGCCAGCCAAAACTGGTCACTGCGATCGGAGCAATTTTCTATTCTATTCAATGTTTTCGGCTGAGTGCTGATGCCCTTCTGTCACACAATACAGTAAAAAGGGTTTGTTATATTCGTGGATTTGAAGAGGAAATTGACGGCCTGCAACAGGTACCATTCAGGGTGTGGTTATGAAAACACGTACATTTGATGGGTAGCGTTCAAATTTGGCCTTTTGCCCAATTTTTGCTAAGCATGGAGTCCATTCTTAAGTCGTATGTGAGTCCAAATTTGTATAAAATTTTATTATAAAGTTTTGAGCTGATGTTTTTTAGGATCATGAATTATCATTCATTACTATTTGGCATCAAAAAGGGCTGTAGACATAATTCGCATTCTGTGATTAAGGCCTGTTGAAATTTCAGCTAAAGAAATTGTTCGGTTCTCAACCGTGTTGCTTCTCGAATCTGGCAAAGGCTATTCGTCATTGTTCAATAAGTAAACTTTTGTATGCGTGATTTCCTAGTGTTGTTTTCGTTATTCCGTTTGACCTTGAGCATTTCTCCAAGACCACGAGATGATGGTATCATAAGTTCGGTATGAAGAACCCCACTCGTTATGCTTAAAACCATACTTCAAACTGTGACCATCACAGCTGGTTATACTTCGTGGCCGAAAGAACGAATCAATTTCTCCGAGCCTTTCTACGAATGTCCAGTCCAGACCCCAGACACTGCTCTGGCTCTACCCTTAACGGGACCTCCATCCCCATTTCCTGAACTCTCATCAGAATACGCTCCCATGGTGCTTTTTGCGTTTTTCTCATTTTTTATTTTTCCTTTTTTTCTACTCTCTCCTTTTTGAGACTTCTTTATAGTTTCCACTTTACCCTCCTTTTTGATTGAATGGACTGAACTTTTTCTTTGCTTTGTTCCTACGTTTTTTTCTATCCAGTACGGGTTACTTTACAGCACAACCTTATGACCCGTATTTAAGCATTGACGTATGTATAAATACGTAAACAAATAGATAAACAAGACAAATTAGAAATTTTATTTCATCTGTGATGCAATCATTGCATCTGAGGTAATTAACCCCTCATTTTGAATTTGTGACCTAACTTAATTGGATCATCCCCACGAAATAGTGTACCCCATCATCAAGGGGGAATGTGCTTAACGTCGAAATCCGGCTTGGCCCTCCAGTCAGTCAATCAAGAAACTTCTGAAAAAGCTCATAAAGTGTGACCTGACCGAGTCTTGAGCGAAGCAGATTTTCAGTTTCGAAAACATCTAGCTGAGAATCCTGTTTCTGTGGTCGTTACCCCAGCTGAATGAAGCTCCATGTCGTCAGATCTACAGAGGACATGTATCTACTACGACATCTAAAGAAGGGGGTTAGGCAAGAACGAGAATATCTCGTAACTGACACCAAATGTCGTACATATCGTGATAGAAACTGGATGGGATTAGTGCTATCTATGGACCTTTGAGAGATTCAAGTTCAGCAATTTGAGCTAGCCCTTGAGTACCTGGGAAACAATCTTCCTCTTGACCGATTACTTCCCCTCTCCCCACAGTAGACGAAAAGTCTGGAATAGTTCAAGGGTACTACGGTGTCAAGAGCCGAAATGTTGCCCTTTGTAAACTGAAAGAATGCAACTAGGTGACTACATGACGTACAAGACCGGGGAAGTTCAGGGCAATTACGGTGGAGTCTCACTTTCTTCTTCCACGTTCTGCGTTGCGCCCTGTAATTGACTGCGACGAACGTGGAGTTTCAGTGAAGGAAAGTCAGCGGGGCTCCTTAGATAGGCTCCGTCTAATGGTTCGCGTGGTTTACTCCCTGAGTCAACGTGGGCCTGGATCTCTCACAAGCCCACTTATCGGTAGGTGGTCCATTTAGAAGAAACGTCGCTAGCTCCAAAAAAGCGCAATGTTTCCAGAAGAAAGAGTGGGTGAGGTGTTCGGATAAATGCTTCTCAGGAACCTTGGCAATTTGTTGTCTAGGAACTTTTTTGGTTGCAGGCAAGTAACTGTGAAGTGGTATTGTCTGCCAACTCCTTGTCCTAAGGAAAAAGTTTGAAGCTGGCAGTAATTACCTCTTAGGAGAGGATTACGCTGAAATGTTAGAGCGTCCCAGAACCCCAGATGCAGTTTGTGTCCTCCGAAATATGATAAGTCCATTTTTTCCATCTTTCGTTCCAGCTTCTTGGCCCTTTCAAGCTATTCGGGATTCCCATAGAGTAGAAACCTTTCCATTGCGCGCTGTGGAAGCCAATGTTGTGCTAGCTGCAATCCGAATGCTTCCAAAATTCTAGAAAAAAATTTCTTGTACGGCTCGAACCAACCTCATAAACTGCCAGTTTGGTCTTTCGTAGTTTGGATATAGTGAACTGCCAGTAAATACGTCAATGTCACATAGTCATCTGTGCTTTGAAGGTCAATAAAGCTTTCTAGAAAAACCGGTTACTGCCATTATCCAGTCACTAGTTGCTACTTGTCAGCAAAATGCAATAACATCAATTCAAGATCCGTCATCTGGTTTGTAAACTGTATGGAGCGATTAAATGGTGGGGAGGAGTCTGCCATTAGGGTCTACGAGTCTCACGACGTGGTTCTTAAAGAGTCCTGACCTCTGCTCTTCCTCCATCATTCATGAACTCTACCCTCCACTCGAAGACTCCTCGTCACTCTACCCTCTTCTGGAGGAGTTTATGTGAAAGTACATATTTTCTTCATTTGATTCCAATTTCCGGCATCTTCACCTTGGTCACTAAAAACTCAGATTGAGTTTCTAGCGTTGATCAATTCCGTCGGTGATATGCGCCACGCATTCGACTTCCATCAGAATCGTAGTAGCGTTTTGAATGCGTATGTAGCATATGCGATGACCTCCACAGCTAGTCGACGTATAAATCAGGGCTTTCATTTTTCCAAGCGACTCTGGTAGCAGTAAACCGATTTCGGAAAGATCGAAGGCTTGTCCAATCTAGGCTAGTAGCAATCGGGTGATCCCTTAGATCCTCGCTGAGCCATT